TGGACGAGCGGTAAAGATTGTGATGTTTGTTGATGCCTCACATGCTTCCAATCTTGTTACACGTCAATCCAGAACAGGTGTTCTTATCCTCTTGAATCATGCACCGATCGTTTGGTATTTGAAGAAGAAGTTCTTTTGGAAGTGAATTTGCTGCATTGAAGACTGGTGTTGAATTGGTTGAAGGTCTAGTATACAAATTGCAAATGATGGGCGTACCAATTGATGGCCACTGTCATACTCTTGTTGATAACAACTCTGTTGTGATGAACGCAAGTCGCCCGGAATCTGTCTTGAAAAAGAAAAGCAATTCTGTTGCTTATCATTATGTTCATTCAAAATGTGCAAGTGATCTTATTCGAGTTGCTTGGGAAGGAACCAAAACAAATCTTGCCGATATGTTAACAAAGATTCATACTGGAAGAGAACGTGCTCGTCTGGTGGAATTTATTATGTATGAAGAAGACAAAATTCCAAGAGTGGTACAATCTGCAATCAAAGCTCTTAATGTGCTTTTTGGTCTGCATCCACACTAAGGCCGATGAATCGCCTTTGCTTTCAGTGGGCATGGTCATCCTTGGACTGTGTTGGCTTGGGCATCCTCCACCAGAGGTACATTACATTTTATGTTATTGTTACAATGTTTCTTGATTCATGTATCAAGTCAACATTGAGGGGACCATTATTTTGGAAGTACGTGGTCTGTCCTCCGTACGTGTAGTTTTGTAGTCTGAAAGGATTTGGTAGTCACAAGTTTTCCTTGTCTATATTTTGTACAGTAATTGATCTGTTTTGGCTGACTAGCCGTGCATTTTAACGCTTATAGGGAACTTTCAGGGATCTTTTGCAAAACAATATTCCCTCAAAAGACAAACTATACAAATAATAGAGAATTGCACTATAGAGATGACACTATTCAATGGACGGCCATTCTCAATATCGTATTGAATCAAAACAAGAAAGTCAGTGTAAACGACTTCATGCTTGTCCATAGTATAACAAAAACGAGTACCAATAGTGTCAAAACGTTTCAATCTCTCGTTGAAGTTCTCCTGCCACCGAGTTCTAGCGCAAATCTTTAACTTGAGAACTTTGGGGCTGTCAGTTTCTTGAATAATAGATGTGACCATCCAGTGAGCAAAGACAAAGACCTTGTTCTAAACAAGACTTTTTGGCCGAATGTACGCCAATACTCATCTGCTAGTAGACATGGTTTGGGCCCATGTTTTTTGTGATGATGCCTCTCCAGTACTGTCCTTGATAGGTTTCTTGGGCTCTTTTTTCGCATTGCTGGTTCTCCAATCCTTCAACTACTATTGTCCAGCATTATCAGTCGCTCCAGTATTCATTGTAGGCTATTGGCAGTGAAGAGTGCCCTTGTTGATAGCATTGGATTGTCCAAAACCGATGCCAATGGCATGTTATAATAAAAATTCACAATTTGAAAAGTAACAGTTTCTTTCGACCTACCGGATTGAATTTGAGGTTTGCTGGCTCATTTTGCCGCCAGAAATGCCTTTGCTTCTTCTTGGCTACGACTTGTGACGACAAACGGTTGAGACTAGCAGTACCTTGTAATCAGGTACTTCTCTCACCCTGTCAAATCAATCTGTCATAAGAATATTAGAATAATCAGAATAATTGTATGTCTATACTCTTATTGAAATGGCAATCTATTCAAATGTAGGATTCGCGAGCATGGTGTCTGCTTTATGATTTTTGATGCGACGGAGCCACATTGCATTCGTCCAAGACTGTTGAAAGATACCTTTATTGCGCCTCTTTTTGTTATAGGAGTGCTTTTGTTGGTGGCAATGACACATCCAGACAGCTCAAAGAAGAAGAGGTTTTGCTGTTGGAGGTATTGGTCTATGTGACGTGACGCGGCAGTGACGTGAGTGTCTATCATGCGTAGTATGAAACGCAGTATGTCCAAATGAGTTGTCACGTAGAAAGGTGATCAAGAATGAGAATCGTGAGAATTTGTAATATGATCCTGAACTTCAATCAAGAGTCTCACTATCGATTGAGTTCTGGCAAGAATAGTATTGTGGACATTGAGGTCCAAGCAAGTATAGGAAATAATAAAGTAAGACCTTTGATTGAATAAGACTACTGCTTATTCCAGAGGCTGAGGCCCAGAGTCGCTGGTGCCCAAAGGCAGACCAAAGCCGATGTAGATTCGATCTCAGGGACTGCTCATTGAAACAGACAGGGCGTTGAGGCTCCCATTCGGGTCTGTAGAGCAAGTCCATCTGACACTCAATTGATAGTGAGACTATTTATAAAACAGACAATGACGCGCCGCAACCAAAGCACAAGAGGAGTTCGCCGCGGCAATTGATTTGGTGGAAATCGCCAGACGAGTGGCAATTCACAGAATGCAAAAAAGAAAGAAAAACGATTGCCCAAGTATCATCCAAGCGACCTAGATTTTCCTTATGCCGATGTAACACGGAGCCTCATCGAACAAATTGGAATTGAGGGATTGGAGTATCCTCAGATTATGATATCTTCCATCAAAGAATTGAATGAGCCAGACTGGGATGGTTTGAAACCCAAATTGGATTTAACTGGTCAAAAAGACAAAATTGAGAGAGAGGCAAAGAAGGAAGAATTGAAAACGGAGAGTGTCGAATATCATCGACAAAAGCGATACTGGAGCAAAGCAAAGTGGCATGTGCATTCGCTGATTATGGAGTCATTTGTTACCAGTAAAATGAAGGACAAGATTCTACAGGAGGTCGATTACAATGAGAAAATTGAGGGTGATCCTATTGAATTATTGAGACGCATCAATAAATTTATGACGACCAGTGATGTGACAGACTGGGAACCCATTACATTGTGGGAAGCACTACAGAAGTGGGTGAATTGTCGTCAGAAAGGAAATGAAACGGTGATTGAATACCGTAAACGATTTGAAGAATGCGCAACTACAGTATTATCTTTCATGGGTGATTCGTGGCTAGAAGTGTTTGCCGCAAAAACGACCGCATATCATGAAATTGAAAACAATCACCCGACTAATGGCTTGTCGGATAGAGAAAAGAAGCGAGTTGCAGCAGAAGTCAAAGAACTTCAAGAAGAATTTCAGGACGAGTTTGTAAAACTGTTCTGCGCTGCTGGATTATTGCACAACTGTGATCGTGCATGATACCAGCCGGTACTTGATCATTTTGTTACTGCATACGCTGTGGAGCACGTGGACTATGCTCAGCGAGATTTATTCCCGAGAGATGTGGAAACTGCAGCCAAGGCGCTACACAATCATTGGGTAAAGAAAACAACAACACCAAAACACAACAACAACAACAACACAAATGAAAAAACGAACACACCACAGAACGGTACTAACCTTGCACAGGGATATCCCGCAGTTTTCTGTGAAGCCAGCTTTCTCTTTTTTTTGGAGAGTCGATGTGGTCATTTTCACCCTCTTCTGCATGAAACTCAAAAAATCGACTTTCACTTATTGCCTGTCAGAAAGAAACTTCTACGACAAGGAATTTTATAAATGTTCACAATGTCGTTAAGTGTTCAACTTCATTCGCCAGATTAAATTTTATAAGTTTGTTTTATTTTCACAGCAATTGCGGAACATCTGTAATGACCCCAAAAAAACCTGTAAATTTTTCACAGAAGTTTCGGAACATCTGTGAAAAATTCACAGAGATTTCGGAACATCTGTGAAAAATTCACAGAGATTTCGGAACATCTGTGAAAAATTCACAGAATTTTTGACCCACACGACCAAGCATTGCTTGCGCACAACGTTAACCGTTTTTTCCTCTACGGAAGTTGTATGGTGCTTTTACGAAAGGGCATGCGTGCACGCATGTCAGCTGAACCTCTGTTGAAACTTCACGGCAATTTCGGAACATCTGTGAAGACCCTTAAAAAACCTGTGAAAAATTCACAGAGATTTCGGAACATCTGTTGGTCATTCACAGAGATTTCGGAACATCTGTGAAAAATTCACAGAATTTTTGACTCAGAGGACAAAAAGAATAGTCAATTAGGGGAACTATCTGTAATTTAATGAACTACGACCAAAACGCAACGATCACCGACCAAGAATGAATTCCACGAGCAGTGATGATGTCGGATCACAGATCCCCGTGCAGAAGGAGTGAGCAAGCCGGTCAGGCCCCGATTCCGGTTCAGATTCACACCAAAATGCGGAATATCCCAGGATTACAATAAGGGGAGTAAGCGTAAATGTTTTTGCTATGGTAAGGCGGATCATGTTGCACCGCGATGTGAACATCGATTTCTACCCAAGGAACAATGGAAAGATCCAACAAAGTGGAGATCGTATCCCAGGACCAAAACGGGACATGACCAGGTGCACCTACAGAGAGGCACCGAGGAGGGATCTGTGCAGTCAAGTGTTACAGCTAACACCGCAGGTACACCCGCCAACAATGATGGCGGTATTTCTCAGCAGAACCACATGCAGACTGGTTCGGCTGACAGGAGTGGTGGACCACAGCCTCGAAAGCAAAAGATTGGCATTCAGGGGTGGAATATGGCTCAGTTTGGCGCAGCCTATTTTAAGACCTTCAAGATTTGGGACGTCACCATCACACGACATAATGGCAAACTGGCAGGTACAATTGGATGCTGTCAGTGCAGCCAAAGAGGACGTCAGTGTTGCAAGTACACAGAGCTCCAACGTACAGGTTGGCAGGGAAGTAGCTGTGATGCATTCCCAAGCTCATCGGGGACTTAGGTACAAGGATAGCGGCAATCTGGTATATCTTGATTCAAATGATTACAAGGATGGTAAGATTCCGGAGCATTTTGATACGCATGATCCAAAGTGGTTTTGTTTGGGCGAAACAGGTCCGTCCCTTGACACTGGTTTGACATTTCATCTTCGCAAAGATTCGATGAATGCAAATATGGGAACATTAAAAGAGCTTCCGTATATGTTCAATTATGGAACAAATGTCGGCGGAGGAAGGAATCTCACACATGAAGTTGAGAGTAAACACATGGATAATATGTGTAAGTATGACGCTGATGTCATCTGTGATGTGGACAGTGCGTCTTTATTGGTAAAAGAAGGGTATCGTATTGTGATGGATACCGACGTAGAAAATGCATTTTTTGTTTCCAAAGATGGGAATCAATGGATTTACAGAGAGAAGGATGGGTTGTATACTTATGAACCCCACGAGGGGGAGAGTCATTGCAATGTGTGCATGGAAATTGGACCGACTGGTGAAGCCTGCAGATCGTGCAGAGCCCACGGTGGTTTTGTGCCGGGTGAATCATATCATGGCTGCATCGATAATACAACTAGTCAACATACTTCCCGTTCACAAACACAAACAAGTCGACAAATTCTCCAAATTTATACCAGTACGATGTCAATACGGTCTGTTGCAAGAGTAACAGCTCTATCGCTGTTGTGGAAATTCACATCAGCCCAATTCTGCACGAGTCTGAAGACTGATACATGGGCTGGATATGTAGATGCAGTTTCAGAGGCGCTTGATCAGACTGGTTTTGCAGTCCTGTGTCCTTTTGAGATCAGCGGTGATGGGTGTCAAGGAATGGAAGAGTATCCCGAAGGCCTAAGAATAAAGGAAGGACAGTCTCAAGTCTTGATAAGCTGTGACTCTCTTCTTTTTGGCTACCATGAAGAGAGTACAGAATGCGTTGTTGACTGTCCTGGTCGGCACATCACCGTTCCTGAATCTTCTTCCCTGACACTGGAGCGTTACTCTGGTCTCCAAACTGTAAAAAAGAACATAGAGGGTTACACCCCACAACAAGTTGACCGAGCAAACGCTGCAAGATCCGGGTATCACATGGGTGGTGCACCAGGGATCGAAGCATTCAAAGTTGCTGTACGCTCAGGTTTATTCAAGAACTGTCCCATCAGAGAAGAGGACATTGTTATTGCTGACAAGATTTATGGACCAAGCGCTTCAGTTCTTAAAGGAAAGACTAAGCATCCTACCCCGGAAGCAGTCCGGGATGTTTGGGTTGAGATCCCATGTGAATTGTTGGTCCACAACATTGATTTGAAATTGCATCTGGATATTGCATTCATCAATAACACATTCGGATTGACCACAATTTATGGTAGTATCCGATACCGAACTTTTGTACCACTATGAAGCAGGACTGCGGAGTCGTTGTATGAAGCAATTGATCATGTATTGCGCATTTACAACCATGCTGACTTTACTATCAAGACTATCTACTGTGATGGTGAATTTAGACCAGTTTTTGATGATGTTAAAGATGAGATGAATGTTGATATGAACACGATCCCCATGGCGGAACGAAATAACCAACATATCAAGGCGTTGTTCCGTGTCCAATACCATTGCATGCCCTATAAGGCCATTCCAAGGATTATTACTGAAGCTATTGCCAAACGAGCCGCACAGACTTCCAACTTTTACCCCGCCAAAGGGGGTATTTCGGCTTATTACAGTCTTCATATGATTTTGTTGCGACGCCAAGTTGATTATTCGAAATAATTTGTTGCTGAACTTGGGTCGTATGTCCATGGTTATGGAAATGATACTCGCAGTGATCATCGGTCACGCACTATTGAAGCGATTTACTTGGGACCAGCTGATAATATGCAAAAGGGTCACAAGCTATATGATTTGAACACGAAAAGAGAGGTGACTAGGCCTCAAATTACGGTGCTCCCAATCACTGATCAAGTGATCAAATTGGTTGAAGCCCATGCTGCTGAGGAAGGCGTTACAGATTTACGGACCTATTCCAGACGCAATGGAGAAATAATTTTGGATGCTGATCTGCTCGCAGGAGTGAACCCAGATGAGCTGTGAGACAAAGACTATGTACCTGCAAATATTGAGATTCCATCTGTCAATGACATGCATTTGCGCAAGAATGATGCAATCTCCAATGCAGAACTTGAAGAATTAATCAAGGATGCAGCCAAAGATATATTGGAATCTAGAAGAATTGATGATAAGAGACAACACAAATATGATGAGACAGATAGAACTGTCGACCGCCTGCTGCAAAGAATTAAAAGACGTGAAGAAGAAGACGATGAAGAGGATATGGATTTCGTGCAGGATCAGCAACCTGAAAGCGATATTGAAATGGATATCAATGATGAAGAATTAAAAGATATGATTGATGAAGTAGCCCGTTAGTTGGATAGATTGAGCAAACCCATTGAAGAAGAAATAATGTTCAGTGTTGAAGATGATGACAATGACTATGAGGGTGAATATGATGCGGAAGAAATAGAAGAACTGCAAGAAGCAGAAGACAAACTGCAAGTATATCCTGACGAGGAAGATGATGTTCGTGCAGGAGTGAGGTTTGAAGAAGTCCCCGTGTTGAGTACAACAGATGATTCAAATAAAGACAAGAAAAGGAGAACAGGAAGTGGACAATCATTTTATTCAAACAGAGTCAAGTATCGACCCACAGATAGGAATCGAACTGACAGACCAAGACATGGTCATATGTACTTACAACGAATGAAGCCCAAGATCAATTTGTTAAAGAACAGAAGTGCCATGAGAAAGAAGGCACGGTTGAAGAGATTACATATCTCATTATACCAGGCTATCGTGTCAAAGGTAAAATCACAAAAGAAAGGAGAGTTTCGAGATGACAACGTGTTGAGCGCTGAAGCAAGAAGAAAGATAACCGAACGGACGCATAACTTAATGTTCCAGCAGAGTGGAACTGAGAAGAAACCGACTTACAATGTGGATGAGTTGTTGGTGATTTCAGGCGTCATGCAACAGATTCGTGACAAGGTGTACACAAGGGATGGAGTGTCATTTATTCAGCAGTATTATCTTAACAAAGGATTAAAGATTTTCAAAGAACGGGGAAAAGAAGCTGCACTCAAGAAACTTGATCAACTGATCAAACAAAGTTGTTGGACACCCATCAGCATTGGTGAATCGGCTGAATCCGAGAAGAGGAAAGCAGACGGTGCAATGATGTTACTGGCAGAGAAAAACAGTGGTGATATCAAAGGTCGTTTTATAGATAAAGGAAGTGAGACAAGAGACTGGCTGTCTTGAGAGGACACAGCTAGTCCAACCGCATCGCATGAAGGTATTTGTTGCACAGGAGTGATTGATGCGCATGAAGATAGATGCATGATGTCAATGGACATTCCGAACGCATTCATTCAGACCTTGATGCCAGATTTAAGTGATGGAGAAGATCGGGTGATCATGAAGGTAACTGGACTGGTGGTCCAATATACAATTGATTTGGACCCGACCTATCGCGATTATGTTGTTTATGAGAATGGCAAGAGAGTGATCTATGTTGTGATCCTTCGTGCCATATATGGGATGTTGCAGGCTTTGTTGCTGTGGTATCGAAATCTGAGAGCTTCTCTAGAGGAGTTTGGCTTTGTTTTTAATCGATATGATCCCTGCATTGCCAACAGAATGGTTAATGGCAAACAATTGACAATCAGGTTCCATGTTGATGACGTTTTGGCGAGTCACATGGAACAACAAGTACTTGAAGATTTTTTCACATGGGTGAATGAAAAATATGGTGGCTTAAAAGAGGTAACATGTACTAGAGGTAAAGTTCATACTTATTTGGGCATGGCATTGGATTTTTTGAAAAAAGGAAAAATGAAAATTTGCACGGATGATTATGTGAATTGCATGCTGAATCAAGTCGAATTGGGCAACATTACTATTGAACACATGCCAACTGATGAAATGTGGGCAGATTACATGACAAAACCTTCACAGGGTAAAAAGTTTCGCAAATTCTGGGCTGTAATTCAAGGTGACCAGGATTAGTCCTGATGATCAATCTTGGATATTTTACTTCTATTGAGAAGTAACTTTTTTGTTCCATCCACTGGAGTCGCTGGTGAAACGACAGGAGTGTGTGGGAGGTATTGATATACTGAGCAATCATATTGGTCGATTATTGATCAATGGTCTATGTGACATGACGCGGCAGTGACGTGAGTGTCTATCATGCGTAGTATGAAACGCAGTATGTCCGAACGAGTTGTCACGTAGAAAGGTGATCAAGAATGAGAATCGTGAGACTTTGTAATATGATCCTGAACTTCAATCATAAAACTCAGAAATCAAAAATCAAAAACTAAAAGGTAGAAGATTATTTTCCATGCACAGCACCAAAACAAAACTGTACCAGTCCTACGCGTTTTCTACGTAAAGGAAAACAGTTGTTGTTGCTGAAACAGGAAAGAAATTTACTTTAACATGAAGGATAACATCGTCAACCCGCCGGAGAAGGATCCGAATTTGATCATGACTGTAGCTGACCAAGGTCAGGGAGGTCTCGAGGCAAAAACCCGATCAAATTCGACCACTCAATTGTCGATTGCTCTAACAAAGGATAATCCTGCCATCACAACTCCCAAGCGCAGCAGCAAGCGAAACCCTTCAGAAACCGCCGAGGATGGCGCAATGAAAGGCCGCTCGCTCTTCCCATCTGCAGTTCCCCAAGTTCAGGACGTCACGGTCAACACTCGCCCAAATCCGACCACTCCTTTGTCAATTATGTTAACTAAGGACAATCCGCCTGATCCCACGACTTCAAAGAGCCAACGCAAGCATCCCCCTCCTTCCAAAACCGCCGAGGATGGCGCAGTGCAAGGACGATCGCTCGTTGCCTACATCACAAAACTCAAGGTGTCCACATTTCACAGGCTCTACAAGAAGGCTTGGAGACAGGAGATGTTTGCTCTCGCAACAGCCCAACGCGTTATCACTACTGACAAAAAGTCGCCTTGCTTTTGGGAATTTTTGCTCGTGTTCGACCCAACATTAACAACGCGCCGAGCCGTTGACTTGGATGTGGCGAACGGCATCCGAATTCTTCGCTCATCCTGCTATCATTCCTCACATTGTGGAGGAATTTGAGCGACTAAAACGAGAGCTACAAATAGCCAAAGCTCAGTCCAAGTTTCCACCAAAACAAGGTTGGAACCAGACGGAACTTCTTTGCTATTTACACACAACAACAATCCTATTTTACGACGTCTGCGCTGCCCATCAGACGTGGCCACCAACCATGGGCTCGAATGACAAAAAATCACACGAGATGGCTTTGAAATCAACAAGGACTGCACCTAAGCTCGCTCAGGAAGGTCTGGAGGCAACAACCCGCTCGAATTCTACCACCCTATTGACGGTTGACCTTGTGAAGGACAACCCCTGTGAACACAAATTCTCCATGTTGTACAGCATATTTGTCTTGTTTCTTTCTCTGGAAAAGATACAGCAGACCGATTTTCTTGGTCTACCCTTCCAAATCCCCACCAACAGAGTGGGAGCGCCAATCTGCCCATTGACAGATGACTTGAGAGAATTGCATCCAATTCTTTCCTTGGAAAAGGTACCCACAAAATTCCTCTGTATCCCAGGAGAAATCCTTGCATCTTGTTTGTACTCCCCCACCAACAGTGGGAGCGCCGATTTGTCCCCTGACATGATCGACTAGAGCAAATTTTTTCTTGAAAAATGCCTCAACGTGGTTCAAACTTATCTGACTAAAAGCAGCATAGTTCCTGGCCTCTACAGCCGTATTACACCGGCAGTTGGATACTCTAGAAGTAGCATAAAAACCAATTAATGATTCAGTTATATATATATATATCCTGAACTTCAATCAAGAGTCTCACTATCAATTGAGTTCTGGCAAGAATAGTATTGTGGACATTGAGGTCCAAGCAAGTATAGGAAATAATAAAGTAAGACCTTTGATTGAATAAGACTACTGCTTATTCCAGAGGCTGAGGCCCAGAGTCGTTGGTGCCCAAAGGCAGACCATAGCCGATGTAGATTCGATCTCAGGGACTGCTCATTGAAACAGACAGGGCGTTGAGGCTCCCATTCAGGTCTGTAGAGCAAGTCCATCTGACATTTGCTCATAGAGAAGGAATGCCCGTGAAATAGCAAATTTTGTTGATTGATTCGTTTCATTCAAAAAATTATCTTGCCAATGTAGAATGGCAGAACCTCAGTCAATACTTCGCAAAAAGAAAGACAACAACATAGCTCATTTGTAGAATAACAGGTGGGTGACTTTCCAACATAGAGCATTTGACTTGTTGACGAGTTGACATCTGAACATTGTTTTGGCAACAACAGACCGACAAAATCTTGTTCAAAACTTTGCGGATATACAGGCCAAATAGACGCAAGCGTAGATCTTTTGTAGTATCATAGATCGTTTACTTGAGTGGGGTCTCGTTGGCTCATCAAGGTCTCTTTCCCGTCGGCATCATTGAAAGCAATTTGGAAAGGTCTTGAATCATGACAGTGATAGGGAAATGAAAGTGGATCGATTGCAGAAGTGCAACCACATTCATTTGATCCGTCTCATCACTGCGCATAGAGCAATAATAGAGTTTTGTAAGAAACTTGTATGGAGGAGATGCAACGCCCATCCAAAACTTACATTCATTTTCATTGCAATTTTGATGAAACCGTGAGTGAATGAGTGATTGATGAATTCAAATCTAAGGCCGGCAAGCGGGTATGCCAGCGTGAGGTTTTGAATCTTGGCGGGAAATGGAAATTGACTGGGAAAGGCCAGATGGTTCGGGTGACTCCTAAACTACCTAATGTTCCTGGTGCAACATGAGCTAAAGGTAAATGTACCTATACTAAAAAAAACTCTGAAACCCGGAGCGGCCTGTAACTGGACCAAGTCGCGCCAAGTCAGCTTTTCAAGGATGTCGTTAACACAATGATGGGAATAGCATAGTCTTTGATTTATTTGCTACTTTGGCCGACTGGCGCTTGTTTGTTCTCAAAATTACTGGGCGTGCATGCCCTTTTTCATCTGCTTCCGAACCGTAAATGGTCGACTATTTTTGTCCAAATAAACGAAGGCGACAAAATGGACGAAGAGCTCGCAACCTGGATGCTGCAATTTTAAATCGGGGCGGCAAAAAAATTTGACGCAAGCTGGTCAAACAATTAATGTCTGTGTCACACAACGACAAAAAAGGGGTCACAAAATACCAGTACCAGATACGTGTATGATACAGATCTCAAAGCAAAATAATCATTGCAGGTGGGTGATATATGGCATGTCCACAGCATGCAGAAGTTGCCAGAGATTTCTTTGGCGGGCCAAATTGCACTCTACAGACAATAAAGGAGTTAGATAGGGAGATCCACGGTCGTCGATTGAGTGCAGCTACAGTAGATCTTTGGAACACATGACGTCAACACGAATTGCAACTAACGCACGGACGACTGGCTGGATGTAGGATTCATCTGATCAAGAGGTTTGAAATAATATTGGCTAGTTTTTTAATTGTAGAGGTTTCGTCGGTCCGACGAAGTTCGTCCATTGGACGAAGGTGTCCGACGAAGTTTGTCCATTTGGACGAAGCCTCCACAAATGGAAATGAATGTTTCGGCAAGCACGTTTTCAACGAAGCCAAAGCTTTGCATTGCGCAGAGTTTGTCACCGGCATGTCAACTCTGTCATCTCCGCTAGACGACCTCTGCGACATCTCTGAGGACATTGCCAGCAAGCTTGCCATTTCAGGCCGCTCCCGAACACCAAACCCCACCGTACATCTCAGTTTTCAAGTTGCACACCCGCAAAGTAGTAAGCAAAGCTGCCCGGGGAAAAGAAGACGGGCCACTTTGCAGATCAACATTGTTCAAGTTTGAGGATGTCTGCTTCTGTTGAGCAAGCAGTCGAGCAAGTAGCCAAAGCTATTGCAAGGGTGGAAAATGAAATTAAGGAGATCAACGAAATTCTCAAGAACCCCACCATTTCGGACGTTGACAAAGCTTATTATCGGCAAAAGGAAGACAGGCTTCGGCAAAAGGAAAGCCATTATCTTCAAGAGAAAAGCCAGTATCTGCAAGAGAAAGCCGATATTCGGCAAAAGGAGTTGTTGTTGATTAAACGCACTCCAATACCATCCATTCCGGAAAACCAAAGTGTGAACACTCCGTTCCTAGAGGACATACAAAAGGACATTACGGCAATCAAAGAGTCTGTTTCCAAACCTGACAGAGCTACCCCTCAAAAAACTCCAGCAAGTTTTGGGGCAGAGGAGCTAAGTTGTCTGGAAAGCGATGGAGATGTGCACAATCTCGATGAGAAAGAAAAAGGTGACGCAGTCCTCACCACCGAGCAATCGGGTAGCCTGTTACAACTAGATACGGAGCATCAAGTGGTTGCGTTTTTGACCCCATTCCTTACAGCTGTTTTCCAATGCAATCGGTCTTCTAATAGAGTTCTTGTGAATTCTGAAGAGTACAAGTGGCTGAAGACATCTGGTGACGAGAAAAGTACCTACAACCAAAAACCGGACATGTTTATCTGCCACAAGTCCCTCTACCAAAAACGCGACCCATTTGATGCAACGGGGGATAGCAAGCTGCTTCAGATGCGGCGATCGACGGACATTTTTGGGCAATTGTCACACTGGAACCTTCGTCGCTTCCTCTCGGTTGTCTTGGAGGCAAAAAAAGACATTAGTAATTCAGCGTTTGGACAGACCATCAACTATGCAGCTCACCTCTCTTTTGAAGAGAGCGGTTCTTTTCGATCGAGAATCTTTCTGGCTAGTTGAGACTGTTAAAGGAAGAGCTTCCTCCGTTAGGAAGTGTCGATGGGTCGACGGCGGGTCGAAATCACGGTTGGAAAAGTTCATGCGGCAAGATCCCCTGATTAAGGTCCTTGACAAGGCTTGCTTTGAGTTGGGCCTAGTGCCCGAAGAGAACGGATACTTGGGCAGTGGAGCGTTTGGTCTAGTTTTTAAAGTCTGTGATCAGAATGGAGTGGCCTTTGCACTGAAGATAGTTCCAGATGTTGATGACAACGTGGCAGAACTTCAAAAGCAAATGTCGATTACTAACGAAGCTACACGGAAATGCCCTCACTTAATCGTCGGCGTTGAAGAGGATTCTTTCAGGAAATTTGGTAAATTGGGTGCTGCTCTTCTATTTTCGGAAGTTGGAAATCACTATTCTAGTCTTTCAAAGAAAGCTATTATTGATTGTCTTCAAGAGCTCCACGAAAACAATGTGGTGCATGGGGATGCTCGAGTGGAGAACATTGTATGCGTCAATGGGAGGGCCAAGTGGATTGATCTCCGAAGAGCTTATATTTGGAACACTGATCAAGTTTCGGAGCTGAAACAGAAGGATCAGAATGATCTGATGGAATCCATCAAACGCAGCCAGTACTTCGATTGATGAGATAGCTCTAACAACAAACCATCACACAACGACAATAATTTAATTGATTGGATATCATTTACTTAACAACTCAAATAACAAATCATCACGCAACGACATCATACCCTCAGAGCAGTGCAAGAGATGAACATCCATGTAGGGATCCTTGCAGAGGCAAAGCATATTGATAGGATTCATAGTCGATATTTGTCTTCCAATGGCATATCAGTCAGTCTGCAACGGCAACAGCAATCGCAAATAGAGACAATGGTGGATAAGTTGACTACCGTGCTCCTTATCCTAGTGTATCTCCATTTACAATCCTTATTGCCTGATCTATCCAATCAATAGACGCTAGTAACTCCAGAACACACACTACACCACTATGGCTGATTTTACACCTGGACTCACCGTTGAGGAATGACTTGCCCGCTTTGACGACCTCCCACAAGTGGAAATAATCCACCAACATACAAAGAGGTCAACGCATTGGATATTGCAAATTGTTGCAGCACAGCCAACTTCCCCTCACCAATGACTGCAACAGACTATGCCCTCATTTCCCCCGCCGATGCATGGGTCAATCCGATTCCATCAGCACCCACATGCTTTGGAATACAGAGAAAGTGATCCCCATGGAAACGGCAAAACCCTTACTGAATGCGCGATACATGCCGGTTTCATTCAGGAGATGAGAAATGAAGAACACAACAGTCAATTGAAATATCAACTGGCTCCGAATTTTGAAGATAGGCGTTTCATTGTTACTGGGGATGTGCTGACGGCCAACATGCTAATCAGTTTCTTGAGATGTCAAGACAAGAACGGAAAGAGAACACAATCCACCGAAGAGATTAGGGGAATTCTGCAACAGCTGCATGGTCAAGTCGCAATTGTCCCTGGAGATTTCCATTTCAGCCTACACATGCTGGAATACTTGTTTTAAGGACTCTATGGGAGCTGGCTTCAGTGTTTCCAAGTGGCTTTGGGGTTTAAAAATATCACATTGGACCCCAAAGAGCGCTACCAGAGATCAAAAGATTTCCCCTCTTTCAGGGACTCTACGGAAGCTGGCTTCAGTGTTTCCAAGTGGCTTTGGGGTTTAAAAATATCATATTGGACCCCAAACAGCGCTACCAGAGATCAAAAGATTTCCCCTCTCTCGTTGGATGGGAATTAGAAAGAGCGCTCTGCAAGCAATGGGTAATAGAGAAGTTTCCAGATTGAGATGACACAAAACCAAGTGCTGTGGCAATGGCACAAATAGAACTGTGAGCAATCGTCTTTCTTTAATGGTCTCAGATGATCAGCATAACCACAATCCATCACAAGTATACAATCAGGATGCTTCTGTAAATAGGCAAAAATAACTTAATCAAATATAAGCAAAATATCATTGCGGAAGGGACCGATCCAATTGTGAGAACACGCGACTGCAAATGGGTCAAGTGTCATTTGATTTTGCATCAGAACTAGTGGCTTCCGGATACGCACATCTGACTCACTTTTCGCCAGACCAAACCGCAGTAGCCGGGATTGTATTTCTTCCTGATCCGGTTTGCGCATGGCTTGCAATGACCCAGATGATTGAGGGCTGTAATCGATTTGGGATTGATGATGGGATTCCCACAGAGTGCAGTGAACCTGCTTTGGCTTGGTCGGAGAAGGCCATCAAAATATTCTCCTCTGCATTGTGTCGTCCTGCAAAGGGAGATGTTGGCGAGGTTGCAGCTGCCTTTTATATGCTGGCTTGCGGAGATGAGTTGAGGTTTGAGCAATCGACAGATCTCACTCAGCTTTCTGTTCCATTAGAGAAATGGATTGCAAGATTGCAACATGCTGATTTGAACACTACCCTCAACCTTGGGGAAGCAAAGGCAAGTGTCAACTTCATCCAAGTTTGTCAGAACTACCTACGCTATAGTTTGAAAGAAATGCAGGATAGTGGGCTTCTCAAGCATTGGTACCTTGGTGGAAGAGGATCGTACATGTATTTTGCATGTGCAGCGTACGACATAATGGTACCAGTGCAATACACTGTGAATGGGACGCTGCATTACTGTCCCATGTTGGTGAGCGTGAAAAACAAAGTGGAATTTTGGCCGTATGAACGTAAAGCTGCAATCAAGGCAATGCAAAAATTGTTTACTAATGCAGGCATTCAGACTGGAGTATGTCTACTGTTGCTCATTGGCCTCGACAACACATCGGAAAAAAAAACAAGAAAAAAAACTAGAAAAAAAACAAAATCAGGAAATAGTTTCGGTCATGGCCAAATTTTTACCGTAACAGTTGTGGTACCGAAGGAGGATCGCTTTGGAGCAACCAATCTTGCTTTGTGCTCAACTTGTGGTGGTGGGCAGGAGTCGGAAGTCATGGTGTCGCATGCAGAGCTTGCACTTGGGGCGGATCATAGTTTTGACTGCTTGCTCCGAAAAAAGAATGAAGATGATGGCCTATCCCAATTGCTGTTTGAAGAGATAAGGGAAGGATATGCCAACATTTCAATTGATGAAGATGATTTTGGAGGAGCAACGGCTCCCGATGAAAGTAGAGGGAGTACATAGTTGAAATAATGGAGAGAATCATGGTCCTGTAGAGTTGTAGGAAAAGCTGAGTTGTGGAAAGATCTATCAACTAGGGGAGAAATGATTATTATGTTGCAAGTGCCAACAAGAGGAATTAAATAGTTTTTTGATTGTTACCCACCGACACTCTGCGTCTGCTCCTCATCCGTCACTCTGGGGGATATTCCAGCCGAGTGGAGCTACAAGTAAATCGCCGGCACACCTCGCGCCAGCGGTCATAGATCCTTCACCCCTTTCGTCCTTGTTGACAGGACGACTCCGACCAACCGGCTGACTCGCAACATGCCTTGCCTGCCTCCAATATTGTGCCAAACTCGGAAAATCAGCCCTACCAGAAATTAAGCAAGTAGAAGGCAGCTTCCTTGCCGCTGTCAGTGACTTCACCCTGTTGTCACCTTGTACAACACTACCATGTCATCTGAATATTCTTCAACTATTCACCTCACACAAGAGGAACTACAACAGGATGTCCAAATATCAGTTTCTGACGCTCAAGAATGGACAGCTGAGCTTCCCTTTATAGGTCTCCGTGACTATGATGACAATGAATCAGTTGACCTCTTCTCGTTTATTACAAATGGGCCCAAATTTACACAAGCACAATTCAATCCAGATCACTGGCCACCTACAAATGCAGGTAGAAAGAAGTTGCTTTTTCACTTGCAGCAACTTGCTCTTAAGTATGGTACCGATTTTAATGTAGATAGCTACAATGGCACACTAAGATGTGCTCGCAACCGCAAGTATGCCGATAAAAAAAAATAAGGATGAATATGATGCGCAAGGTGTTCGTTTTGGCCTTTGCCATAAGTCGCACCATCATGATCGCAAAAGAAATCGTGTAAATGGACAAACCAAACCCCGAGCTACCCGAACAGCCAAGGACACTACTGGAAACTGTCTATGCAACTGTCCCCTATCTTTGAAATTCTCTAGGAACAAAGAGTTCATCTACCTTGCATGTAAGGGAGAGAAGATCCACAAATACCACCCCAAAGCCCCCGGTCCATTGCCTTTGAAGGCAAACAATCTAACTGACGAGCAAAAACAGCAGCTCCTGGCTCAGCAGAGGGCAGCAGTTGCCAACCCCCAATCTCGCAAAATCTTACTTGAGCTTAAGCAGGGGTACATTTCAAAATCTGCCTATCGAACTGTAATGATAACTGCACCGGACTACATAGCCGCAAAAGCTGTTGCTGGTGCAAACTCCTCTGCCGCTGAGTTTATAGGCTGGTTGAGAGCTCAAGCCGCAAATCCTGAAACAAATCTGTCGTATATGGTACTCTCCTATGCCCTGACGTCTAAGAATTGTTGTGTTGTTAGAAGGTATATCCAAAATCCAAAGGGTTGGAGGTCCAACAGCAATCCTCCCTCTAATCCCGAGACTGTCATGAACAACCTGACATACAGGGATGAACTTCTACTACCGATTGAAATCCAGGAACCCTTGGCAAGCTCTCGCAAATCAACCCCTACTCCTCCCATTGGTAAGGGTGGACTAGTAGCAAAAAACAACCTTTGCCAAGCTGCTATAGATCGTGTTGCACTACCAATGTGGCAGGACTATTGTGCATCTGTTGGTGTTGAAGACCATTTGCAAAATACCAAAGCCATCCGAGAGAAAAAAGAAGCAATTTTTTGTCGTGCAGCAAATGAAGTTGACAACCAAACCATTAGGAACAGTTTGGCCTACACCTCTGGCGATGGCAAAGAATCTTGTGATGAGGATACAGCTTGTAGCCATATGGATTGTAATGCAGCTCAGGGAAAGGTCGGAATTGCTGATAAACTATGTGCCAAGCCTGCCCCCATTGTTCCCAAAGGCTTATACTCTATTGCAAATGTATCCATTGCAAACCAGACCAATGACAATTTTGCACAATCTGTGGAAGTTGAATCAACTCTCAAGGGGGTCGCACCAATGGTTGAGCTTGTTGAGCAAGCAGAAACGCATCTCCTTGCATCTAGTGACACAATTATGTCACCCACTAAAGTTATGCTTGGAGGTGCATGGATGACAGAAGCAGAGAAACGTCACTTTTTCCGCTTCCCTGAGGTTTTGTTCATTGACGCTACACACAAGTCAAACAACAAAGGCCGGCCTCTTCTCCTTGTCTGTGGTAGAGATAGTGGTGGTAAGGCGTTTGCCATCCTTCAGATGTTCATGCCCAACGAGACCAAGGCCTTCTATTGGTGGGTATTCCTTGAGGTCTTACCGGCCATGCTTGGTGTAGCACACCTGAAACGAGTCAATCTCATATTGACTGATGGAGATGCCAACGAGTACAATGCTCTTGATCAAGGAATCTTTCATTATTTCAAGAATGCCATTCGTGGGAGATGTGGTCATCATCTAATAGAAAAAACCATCAAATCACACGGTCCTTCTGATGGAGAATTGGAAAACCAATGTAATGGGCGGGCGATCATACTGGAGGTGAAGCAATGGGTACGGTCATGGGTTGATGGGAGTTCATGTGGCACAAAAGAACAATTTGAGTTTTCAAAGCAACTGTTGTTATCTTGGAGAAGAAGCTGCACAAAAATTGGGTCCAACAAATTTCCTGACTGCATCACTCAGAAGACCACAGCACGATAGATGAGCCATAAGATCGGAAGCGGCATCTAGCCATACAGCCATTACCCTGGTTGACCCGTAGACGGCCCATAGCTTGGATGAGTGAAGCCAGGTTGTACATGTGACCAAAACAAATGACTGTCTTGCAGTTCAAGTTCTCGTTACCAACCAAGCAACATGTGGTTGATATAAGTATCTTCCAGCCTCTGTTGAACCAAGTTTTGCTTGCCTCCTGTCTAGCCTCCTCACCTGTAGCCAATGTTACAACTCCAATCTGATTCAAAATGACAATCTCCAACAGGCAATCATAGATCTTAGCACAATCTTTCTTTGTCCGACAAAATACATGAATGTGCCCAGATTTAAGTCTGTCTTGAATCACAGATTGGAAACCATCACCTGTTGGGATTGGCTTAACGTGGATGGGTATACCAGCAAAACCAAGACTGGCGGTCCGCCGACTCTTACAATTCTTCATGCCTAGCCACTTCTGAATTGCAGCCTCTACCCCAATTGAAAGTGAGCCACTCATTGTAATGACTTGTATTCCCTTTGACACAAATTTTGGAACAATTTGTGGAAAACAGTCATAGCTTCTGCGAAAACCCAACTCAATGAAAGGCAAGTGAATCTCATCAAGAAAGATACGCCGTAGAATACCTTCATTGCACCATTGCTCTAGCTTGCCTCCATTGTCACTCATCATCTTTGCAAAAGAGTCCACAGGAAAAAATACAATGGCAGGAATGTTCTCTACCAATGGACTGGGGGTGGCACCCTTTGCTATGTCAGAACATTGAACAGCCACCGTCTCAAGACCCATCCGCTCTCCAACTTGAAGCATGTGATCCACCAGGAACTTGTATGGAAGCACAACAAAGCTGACACCATCATTGACACCACTCAGAATTGCCGCCTTTGCAAGAAGGAAATATGTCAAACTCTTCCCTCTTCCACAGGGAATAGTACCATGTATATTGCTGTTTTGGTTTTCCAAAATCAATCGTAAGAAGTCTTCTTGCCCCTCCAAATATTTTGCATTGGCACCGTAAATAGAAATCAGTGCAGCTTTGAAGTCACCCATGTCCAAGGTTGTTTTGTGGAGGTGGCAGTCCCTTTCACCTAAACTCTTATGAAAAGTATGAAACATTTCATCCAATGGCCTCTCCGTTTTGTAGTGCAAGTTGTGTGTTTGTGTTGAGTGACCAGTTTGCGTTGAAATATGATCCAACTCTCCTTTAGCAACTGTCAACTCAAAAACATGGGCTGCAATATCTGTCCAAACATGACGCAGATCAAGCATTGATGGTGCTTCAGACAACTCAAAGATCTCCTGAGCAGTCTGAGTTGGTTTGATTCCAGCCTTGGGTTCGTAACCGGTCCTCTTTTTGGCAAGACGGTATAAGAGGTATAGCCGACTTAAGGACCAGGGTAGTCTCCTTTCCACAAAGCCATGTGATGTCCGAAATACACTTGCTCGCTTCCTTGTTTCTGCCCAGTACCAGATCTGATTGTTAAAAAATCTGGGTGTGGAACAATCCTCCATTTCAAGAATCTCTTGGAACCGCATTGCACCAAATCCAAGACCGTGGAAAACAAGTTGTATTAGCTTGTGAATCTTTTCCATCACAGTCTCATTTGCTTCAAAGCAAAAGTTAGCTGATCCAACTTCATCAGTCACTTGAAATCCAAATCCACCATCAAGAGATGTGGTCTTTGGACTGGAAACTGGATCCAGCAAGACAGAAAGCAAAAGTTGCCCGTTCCCAATCAGAAGTTGACCAAAAAGGTTGCAGAGACGGTCTTCAATCTTTGGCACGAGCCTAGACCAGACTTTCTTTTCAAATTTGTTCCCACCAACAAAGATATCTCCTTCATTTGTTATATAGTCTCCATCTCTAAGAGTTTTTCGAAACTTTTCAAACTCCCGTAGCTGACGGATCAGTGGTGAGATTGTTTGTACCACTTGACCACATTGGACTTGCCGGCACAAGTCAAGTTGTCTTTGAATAAAGTTTTCACCACACATCCGGTATGCAACACAAAGAGATCCTAGTCTGCAGAGATAGAGGAGTGTAGCCATGGTGCTACCAATCACAAAAGAACCTTTGAATTGTTCGGTTCCACTGAAGATTCTGAAGGATAGAAACTTCAGAATTTCAGGTACTTTGTGAATGACACTCTGCCCTGATTGTACTGCAAGGAGGTGCAGATACCTCGGAACTTCTGTTGGATCATGTTCATCAACAAAACCGGAAGGCAGGCCAAAGGATCTCCATGTGTATTGGATAATTTTTTTTTAATTCGGTTAGGATTGGCCCTGTCTTGTCCCGGCAGGTGAAAATGCTTTCATACTCTGTTTCCACCCGAAATGCAACAATCTCATGCCGGACATTCCCCATCAGTTGTCCAATCATCATTGCAGAATGTTCCATCAACCATTCTTCAGCACCAGCTATGAAATGGCTTGGCGTCTCTTTCATTTTTTGGTTTCCAGTTTTCAAAAAATCCAAGAGTGGAGTGGCCTCTATACTTGACAGGACAAATGGTTGAATGATCGGAACCATTCTTTTGTGCGCACCATAGTCTTGAACCAGCTGCTTTGCCAATTGTTTGCCTGCGTTGATTGTCATTTTAATAGTATCCCGTGCAATCATGTTTGCCAATCCAGCAGCACTGTTGGTGATATAGGAACTGGGGGTAGGAACATGGATTTCCTCACCAAGCAAGTCTCCAGATTGCAGTGGTTGAACTGGTCGACAACAATGTAGTGTCTCATATACCATGCATTCTTGGAGCGTGTCAACCCTGTTTTCATTTCATGAAGCGGTGTCATCTTCCTTCCACAAGAAATGCTTGACAAAGTTGGGCTTGTGAACAAAACATTTTTGACATGGATGGCAGACATATCCATGCTTGCGTACAGGATTATCTTTTTGCTCAAAGATGATGTCTTCAAATGCAATCTTTGTTAGCCTGTGTTGTTTGGATTGGAAAGTTCTATGACATAGTTAGGTTTCGGTTTCTATGACATAGATGGCCATGTGACCGTATTTTTATTGTATTTTCCCCCAATCTCCGTTCTGTTGTACAAAAGTATTTGTGAAACCATCAATTCTTGCCCAAATGTAGAACGAAAACGATCGCTAGCAGCACCTTATATAGTAGTTGATATCCTTGGCTGATTGTTGTCTTCGATTTGACGTAGTTCTTGACTGATGGCCATGTGACTCTCCCCAATCTCCGTTCTGTTGTACAAAAGTATCCAAGAAACCATCAATTCTTGCCCAAATAAAGAACAAAATCAAACGCTAGCAGCACCTAGCATAATTGTTGAGATCCTTGGCTGATTGTCGTCTTCAAATTGATGTTTTGTGCAAGTAACAAGCGCTGGATGATTCAATCTCATTTTGATGATTTTGAGCTGAAGCGTGCATTTCGCAAAGTGATCCGTCAAGTGTTCCGTCAAGTGATCCGTCAAGTGATCCGTCAAGTGATCCGTGGTACATAATTCTACAGGATTCTACATCAGAAGTGATCCGTAAGTGATCCGTCAAGTGATCCGTCATACGCCCGCATGTACAAAATGTACCACAGTGATCCGTCAAGTGATCCGTATGGAGAATTTTGACGGATCACTTTTATATATTATCCATTAATGAATACTTTTACATGGTGATTTCGCACTTTTTCTTAGGATATTTGATAGATAGTCTATGGCTTGATTGGCAATTCACCCTGCCTTTTGCCTCCATTCTATTCCAATCTACCATGATTTGTCGAAAATATTCTGTTGGGTTGCGCAACCTGGTCTGTAGAATGTCAAGAGCGCCAAGGCCTCATATGAAATATGTGCTGGAGATCCATTCGGTTGCTTTTTCTTTGCAATATTTGCCGAGATTCTTGAATTCTAGTGTTTGGTCCTTTCAGCTCACCTTCACCATGAGGGTCCGTGTTGCCCCCCTGGAGCCAACTATACATTCAACAATACAGCAAAGGGTCCCTTGGATACCTATTGTTTCGATTTTCCGGGACCAAGACAATGATTTGGGCTAGATCAAGAATGATCTAGCCAATATGGGTTCAGAAATCATGGATTTTTTGCACTGAAAGTGACTTGGTATCGGTGCGGACCAATTTGTGGCAAACTTCTTTGTTCCAACGCATATTTGTCGTCCTTTGGTATGTATGATGAGATTGGGGGGCTTGGAATGGGTGTTTTCTGCGTGCAGGTGATTGAACGGCACCCACACTGTCTTGGGGATTAATCCAGTTTCATTCAAGCTTGTATCTGGTATCCTTCAAAGTTGTCCAAATACCCACTAATATTGACTTTGGCGTCAGTTTTGGAGTGCTGTGCCGGTAAAGGGATTCTGGGCTAGCTTAATTTTTTCTCTCTTGCCTAAAGTAAAAAAGGTCACTTTGTGGAATTGCCTTCCTTGTGATCAAATCTAGCCACATTCTCAATTTGAAGTATACATAGCTCTAGTTTGGATATATAATTGTACTATTCCCGGGAAATTTATCTAATAATGTCGTAGTGTAGGAGATCAGCCTCTTGCCACTTGTTTCTTTCTAGTTGCCAGAAATGAGGTTATGTAGTCATGCTGGTCGAATCAAACAACACGTTTCATTTGCTCCCGCTGACCATGTGTATTATTTCAAAACAATGTCACAGTGACATTTAGTCCTTATTTGTTCCCTAGACCTTGTAACCTTGCAGGCAAAAAAAAAGCCATTGTTCACAAAATTGGCACTGCTCACATTTTTGGGTTGGGGACGGAGTCCATGCATGAGCTCACCACTACCAATGGTGGTGTTTGTGCAACCACTGTCCATGATGACATAGTCATACAATCCAGCATTGAATAAACTACATACCTTGATCTGCTTCAGTAACAAGATCTGGCAAGTCTTCATTTTCACTAGCATTGTGCCAGTCTGCTTGAAGTTTGACATTTGCTGTACAAGCAGGACATGAAATAAGATAGACATCATTGCCATTCTCATCCTTTTCCTTGATAGCATCATGGAAGACATTTGACATATTGAAATAGCCAGTCTTTGTGACCTGCGGAGTTGGAGCTTGAGTTGCATCAAATCCGTCATACATTTGAGCACCACTGAACCATTGTTGGCTGAGTTGCATTCCACTGAACGTGATCTCACCATTAGCATTCATAGAGTAAGGGACAGTTGCAGTGCCGCCACCTTGAGTTGGAATTTGCATCAGTTGCATTCCTGCAGGAACTTGCATCATTTGACCACCTGTAATACCAACAAGTTGCAAAGGGGTGTTAACGCTTCCCACAACACTTGAACCTTCACTTGTGATAATACCTGTCACTGGAGATAGCCCCAAGAACTGTAGCTGGAACTGTAGCTGGGACTGTCGCTCCAATCTTATTCAGATGGAGCTTTTTCCAATAATCCAGCATTTTCCATTGAATCTTTGGTAGCAGTCTGTCTGGACATTTGTTGGACATATGGTCCTTCTTGCCACATACATAACATGCTGCCTTTTCCTTTTCATCCTTTGGCTTACCTTTACCTTTATCTGTACCTTGTTTGTTTCAAAGTATGCTGCTCTGTTCATATGATTGGTTAGCTCTGCAGAATAAAGAATCTTGTTTTGAGTCATCTCTGTTTCTGTTGCAACAACTTCCGTTTGATCTAGAGCATCCAACTTTGGTGTGATTTAATCAAACTTGATTGACTTTCCATCTTGACTTTCCATCTTGAATCATTTTTACCATGTCTTCTGAACACTTCATTCCAGAAGCTTGGAAATAGTCAATCAGTCTTTTCTTGGCATCTTCAAACGACAATCTTGTCTTGCCACTGTTTTCATCTTTTATTGAAAACAGATGTTTCACAACCTTTGAACTAGGATTGTCGTTGACTTTCTGAGGAGTCATACGTCCTCTTCCACCACCAGATGAAGAACATTCCTTTGTCAACAAATCACTCACTCCTCTGTAGATAAGGCAGTGTTGTTCTTGCCATATTTTCTTTTTGTTGCCATTTGTGATTGAATGTTAGAAATAAGCAGACTGTGCTCTATTGTGAGTTCCTTTAGCGCTCAGAACAAACATTCTGTAATCTAAATTTGTAATTGACTGTACAACACTTCCTTGATAATAGTTCTGTGCTGACTCCGTATTCTTGCTAAACCAAGCGATGAGTTCACCAATATTGCATTCATCAAGCCAATCGTCTCTTATATAAAAAAAATACTTGTATGAGTTACAACACCATTTGTGGGACCCCATCGCAAAGTCTTCAAAGGCATCATCTATTCTCAATGGGTCACAACTTTCTTCAGCTCCCCTCAGCCTGTCAATGAGCTCATAATAGTTGGTTTCTGCTTCCCCAATCTGCTTCACCCTACCACCGTTCACCACATTAGTATATGATACAAGCACTAATTATACTAGCAATTTTGGGTGCCATCAGCCTATTTATGCACAATGTCATTCTTACCCATACCTGTTGTTCCGTTTGTCACTTTGTTTTCTTGTGTTGAGAGCACTCTGAGCTTCCCTTTGGTCATCCCAAAGACTCTCTACACAGTTTTATAACTACTACAAATCAATTATTCATCTTTCGAACAACATGTGCCCATTACTCCTCAGTTTATTAGACAAGATTGAAAACAATCCTGAAATCAGCATTGTTACAATTTGTTGTCCCTTTATTTTCAAATCCATGACATAACTGGACATGTCATTCTGATTCATCTATAAACAAAACAAATTCAGTGCAATTTGGACATATTTGAAGTTCCGGCTGGGATTCTGTACATTTTGGATTTAAATTGTTTACACCCAAATTGTATTATGCAGAAAAGTAAAAAAACAGCAGTGGAGGTATATATAATATAGCAGAGCTATTTCATTGGTACTGGCAGTGCCCGGTAGACACATTCAATTCATAGTTTATGATAGACGTGGGTGAACCATATTATGGTCGATCTGGGCTACCACTTGCTTCGTTGTCCAACAGTTTCTTATCGCAAACGTTTTGTGCTGACTTCGTATGCTTGCTAAACCAAGCAATGAGTTCACCAATATTGCATTTATCGAGCCGATCGTCGCGTATATTAAAAAAATATTTGCTCATCATCCGAAGGGAATGAATATCATGTTCCTTATCCATTTGCTTTCCTGCTACTGCGTCTGGGTGTCGAAAAGCAACAAAGTCAACATTGTTGTAGCCCATGACATATGTTTCGCCTTTTCCAAGTACCTCTCTTGTGAGGTCAAAGTCTATCACGTATCCTTTGTCATTGCATCCTTCGTCATTGGTAAATATCACGTTACGAGGTAGCAGATCCCCATGAACAAAATTTTGGCCATGCATCGCCTGTACCTGTGTCAATATCTGTACCCATCCATCTTTGTGTGGCTTGTTTGAAGCCCCTTCGATGAAGGGATATTTCAAAACGGAAATGGCAAAAGGTCCTTTGGAAACCTTCCAATGAGTGTATGGTTCTCCCAAACAATTCAAGAGCTTTTGTGATGGTGGCCATCTCTTGTCTTTGTCCGCAATAATCGTGAGCGGCAACATGAGAGCATCCTCTTGTCGCAGATGGTAGCAATATTCCTTGAAAACAAACTTGGGTTGTTGAATTGTGACATTATCGCCATAATAACAAACATCACCCATATCATTACCGAAAACGAACTCGGATTTAGAAGACTTGCCTTTTCGAATTGTAACGTTTTCGCCATAATACCAAACATCACCCATATCATTACTGCAGCTCCATGAATCGCTCTTAGCAATTGGCAACTTCATTTGCACACGGGCTGTTTTGTATTGCTGAGCATCCACCTTTTTCAAGCCTCTTGCAATGAAGCAAAGCATAATGGACAAATTTTGTATGGGAGCAATGTTCATTCGTACTATTTGCACAGTCCAGAATGCCTCTTTCTTCTGGTCGGTGTTCTTGTCCTGTAATGAAACGACCTTGTCTTGAGCTAGTTTCCCGCCAAAAGTAGTTGGGAAAGCCAAATCTATCTCAACTGTTTCCAAATTGAATGCAAGAAGAAGAACCGGTCCGTTGATATCTTTTTCAAGGTGTTCCGTATCGATTGCACGATGGCGAAGAAGCTGGTTGACAAGCTGCCCCCTAGTTTCCGCTCGCAGTCCAACGGCACCGTTCTTCCCCTCACCCACAAGAAGTGTGGTCGGCCATGACTTGTCGGTGACGTCTTTTGATATACGCCTACAAGAGAGATCGGAATGCGTAAACCCAGTTCCGATGCATCCTTGGTGCAGCACAGTGTATCCCTCCTCCAGAACCGAGTTTATCGCTGTGGCCATCGCCCCCGTGTAAATCCTTTCATTCTTAGCGACACCTTTGGGCAAATTGTCATCTTTCCCACTCCATTTCCGCACTTGATGTACGTAGCTGGCAGCATGCCGGAACTTGGCATCCATAGTCCCGTTCTCTTCCTCGGAAATTGCTTTCTCCAATACTTCAAGAAGTTCTACACACAGAGGATGGCTGGTGCATTGCATGTGAGTATTATCGTCCAGCGATGCATAGGCTAAACCTTCTTCTTTGCCTTCAGAGGTAGATGGCGGACCTGAAACCACAGGGGTGTCTGCTTTGTCTTTTCCCGTGGACGGTGGAACGAATGCTCTTGTGGTTGTTGCTCTCGGCGTCCTTGGAGGCAGTCCACCTTCATGATATAGGAATAATGATATATAAGCGAATGGTACAATATAACAACGAGCATGAAATGATATGGAATCAGTAGTTTCTCCTTCAAAACTTACCAAGTGAGTTTGGATCATGTGCAATGCCTTCGGTGTGCAAGCAATATTCCCAAAACATGAAATGGATGTTTGTTGGATGATATAATAATTATGTTACAGATGAGAGATACGTATCGATAAATAAGCAAGGAGACCAACATATGCGAAAACAAAAGGTTCGTGCTTACCCATCGCCATCGTATTTCCATTGTTTACAGCGTTTGGCACTGGAGTGCGTTCAATCAACAACAACTTCTTTTGCCGAAGCCTGTCTTTCTCTTCCCGAAGCTGGCTTTTCTCTTGCCGAAGCCTGTCTTCCTTTTGCCAAAGCTGGCTTTCCTTTTGCCGATAGTAAGCTTTGTCAACGTCCGAAATGGTGGGGTTCTTGAGTTTTTCGTTGATCTCCTCAATTTCATTTTCCACCCTTGCAATAGCTTCGCCTACTTGCTCGATTTCTTGCTCAACAGAAGCAGACATCTTCAAACTTGAACAACACTGCTAGCGGTATAGTTTCAGATGTTGTCAGTAACTCCACTACTGGATTTTCAACCCCTGTTTTGGTGGTGAAAAAGGACAGGGACGCACCACAACGTCAAACGCACGCCCGAAATCTGTCCGTTTAGATTGTTCTGAGGATTTTTTAGCTCTAAATAATTTTTATGTGTCCGTGAAAATGCTCTGCGACTTTGACGCGGGACGTTTCTTTTGACGCGGGAATGACGTGTTGCGTTAGTTTGACGCGGAGTTGCGTTGGTTTGACGCGGAGTTGCGTCAGGGGACGGCCGGGAAAATCAAAACTTACTCTCAAGAATTGAATGCTAAATTTCTATTTCCCGGCCGTTCCAGGAACACCCGGCAGAACGATGATTTTCGTCAATGTTCGGAGAGCGGACAGACTTGCAACTCTTTTCGAAATCCATGTGATCACGTGGGATATGAAGATTAACTCGTACTTTTAAGAGCAAAAGCCAATGATGACCAATTTTATGATTGGTTCAAACAGAAACGATGAGAAGCGACCATAACGCGATCAGAAGTGAGTAAAATAAGGTTCCTGCTCGTTCCGAATGGAAATTACTCTCGTTTTGGTGGTTTTTTCATTGTTTTGGTGGCTTCTCATCGTTCTGGAAGTCCCACAAAAATATCCCCCGGACTGTTCAGTCCTACCCCCATGATCTTCATCGGCGATTATTTTTATATCCCCAATCAACCAAGTCTTGGCTTGAGACGTAGAGCAATACCGGAAAGGATTGGAGAGGAGATTGTGAGTGTCAACAATAATGCTCACAAAACTTCATTTTGTCTTTTTTGTTGTTGATGGTTACGGGTATTATTTGTTCTGAGATTTTTTCAGCCGGCGGAAACGTATATACCCCCATATACGGTAACGTCTGTACGTCCTCTCACTGCATAAACATACTTTATCGTGGGTAGAAGTCAGTAGATATAGTTTGATGTTTCACTTCAAAGACAATAATAATGCAGTGTCTTTCACTCCAAGAACGCTGATGAGAGGAGCCATACACGGGAGGCACCCAGCCAGCTCAGGGACGTACAGCCTCTGGAAGAAGCACGGTGCCATCGATACCAGCTATTGTGCATGGTGACAGGACTTTGGGGCATATCCTCTTCGACTCCTCTTCAAGCTACATCAAGAGGAAGAAGAAGTTCTTCCCATAATAATAATAATAATAATAATAATAATAATAATAAAGATAATAATAATGATAATAATAATAATAATGATAATAATAATGATAATAATAATGATAATAATGATAATAATGATAATAATGATAATAATGATAATAATGATAATAATGATAATAATGATAATAATAATAATAATAATAATAATAATAATAATAATAATAATAATAATAATAATAATGATAATAATAATGATAATAATAATGATAATAATAATGATAATAATGATAATAATGATAATAATGATAATAATGATAATAATGATAATAATAATAATAA